ACGTCTTTTTCTTCTCCTGCGTCCATCCGTGATGCCATCTCTTCATATTATAGCTGTCAGCAGACATGGAAAAAAAAATCACATTGAGAAGAGAACCGCTAAAAAAAACAGCCGAGCTGATTTTAAGAAAAAAATAAAAAATATGTGGAAAACAAGAATACTTGCAGGGTAGCAGAATCTCGGGCAAAAACGACAGCAGAAAACAGCAAACGCTTCATTTCCTCACCTGGCGCTCGAGCAGTAAGTGCTGCAGGGCACAGTGGCACGACTCAAAAAAGCCCTTCAGCAAAGCTAAACCAACCTGCCCAGCACCCCAATGTCGCTCGGCACCTGCGAGCCAGCCGTCTGCATGTGAAATTCCCCAAGGCACAAAGCACGTGTGGATTTACAGACAAACAGCAGTACCAAGATACTGCAGAGAGGTGCATGCGCACAAACATGCATGCATATCAGCAAGGGCAGCTGCTGCGTGCAGCGACAAGCATCTACATCGGGAGAGAGCATGTGAAAGAGCAATGAAAAGCATCATCACACTCGCACAAAAATGTCCTCGTTGATCTTAAATTTTTGAACAGTTTTGAATACTAAGAACTTGAGGGAGAGACTATAGGCAGGTTCCAGTATCAGATCAGGGGGAGACATGCTGCACAAATGATTAAATTTCCAGGATGACGACGAGCTCCAGTCAATTGGGAGTTAGCAGAAACCACAAGGTGCTCAAAACATATGGAGCGATACACTGATAACCCCCACACCCAACACGCAACCTGCAGAGGCACTGAACACTGTCATGGCAGTGAGTCTTGTTAACCGGTGAGCCGGAAAGTTCCAGAAACTAAAAGATGGGCCAGCAGGCGCTGTTACCCCTTAAAGGTCACGTGTAAACGTCGAGGCCGCAGAAAGACACTTATGAGCTTTAGAGGAATTTACGGAGGCTTCGGGAAATATGCAGCTGTACTGAGCGGTGAAAAAATAACGCAAAGCGCAGAGGCTGAGAAAACCAGCATAGGAGAGCCAGGTCTGTGAGCAGGCGCAACTGGACTAACCACTGGCTGTGAACTGCGGATTCTACAGGTACAGAGAACAAGGCCACTGCACGACCAGCCAAGCTGAGGGCAGCAGAGACAGCTGTCTGGGTGTAGGAGGCCACAGAGCATCTAACAGGGGCGATGGGCGGCCCGGCGTCATGGGAGACCAGACCTTAAAAGGCGGCTTGCTGCCAGCGAGTCGCTCCAGCACAGCGCTGCCGTCGCCGTGGCACCCTCACCCATCAGCGGTGTCGAATAACAGCCAGACAATAAACCGGGCAGTCCAGCAATAGCCTGTGCAGTCAGAATCGCCATGATGGTTTTAGAGAGTCGCATGTAATGCATATGTGGCTCAGGGTAGAGAGAGGCAGAGCGAGGAGCTGGAGCTGGCCATGGCCCCACTAACAGGTCCGCTTTCACATTCCCCTGCATTCCAATTATATATATATATACACACACATAAACACACACACAAACACACACACACACACATATATATATATACACACACACATATATATACACATATACAGACGTGGAAAAAATTGAGAGCACAGCACAATTGTTTATTCACTCATCTTTCAGTTTACGGGTCTGTGTCTGTGAATAATATATATTTTTCTGCAAACTGCAGCGTGGCTCTTCCCGGTTTCTCATTAATGAAGGGCTCCTTCCTTGCTTTATGGGACTTCAGTCCTGCTTCTAGGAGCCTGATACACACTGTCCTAGCAGTGCACTTCACACCTGCACTTAATTGTTTCCCAATTCTTTTGAAGGTCACTTGATGTCATCCTACGATTCATGAGAAACTGGCAGATAAGTTAACGTTCATCTCTGCCATTAGAATGTCGCTTCCAGGCTTTACCTGGCTGGTTTCTGGTTGTACCCAGTGTGTCCTCCTTCACCTTCTTCTTGTGTGCTGCCGTCTTAGAAATTTTGAACCTGAAAACAGCCTTCTGCCAACAGAACCACAATTAAATTACGATTTAAAAATGCAGATTTGTCTAAAAATATAGGGTGGTCTCTTATTTTTTTTCCATGGTTGTGTGTATATATATACATATACACACACACACACACACACACACACACATACATACATATATATATATATACACACACATATATATATATATCAGCAACGCTGACCAGGGTAAGCAGTTGGAAGATGGATGGGTGGGTGGGTGTGTGTGTGCGTGTCTGCATTACAGACTAGGCTAAACACCATTCCCCAGGCACAGGAATAAGGCTCATCTTTGATTTAAGTCCAGGTTGTCCTCCAGATGTCATTATGAGAGTGGGTAGTACTCCAGTGAAAGGACACAGTTTGCACCCTTGAAGGTTACATTTTTAAGTGCTATTTTAGGTAATAGAGGTTGTATCCTTGAGAAAAGCACCTACAGGTTAATTTTTAAATGAAAGTAGAACATGTTCATGGGAAAACCAGTCAAAAGATGTGGAATGCTACCAGACGTGCAAGCGGGGGGCCAGGTCTTGGAGCTTAACACGGGCCACCTTCCTCAGAGAGACTGCTTTCCCAGGTTTGGGAGTCTGCAAGCCAATGGCAGCCATGTTCCTGCTCTCTCTGCCTTTTTCCAATGACTAGGACACAATAATCCATCACTGCTGCCGTAAGATTTCCTGTCAGCCAAAAACACCACAAGCCCCCCCGCCGCCAAACCAAAAGGATAATAAATGTCAAGGGGGCCAAAGTTCACACAACACACAGCTTCCATTTAAGCTGTGCTCCCAACTAAAACTACTTCACAGGCCTAACTCTCCTACGCTTCCCATCCTCTCTGTCAGTCCTGAGCTGGTCCCATATTTAGGGGCAGCTGGAAATCAAGCGACAGGCTATCAACAGCGGCATCCAGCATGGAACAGCGCAACAGCGCACTGCTATACCCTAATCCGCTTGCCTGTGTTTTCGGCCACCAGGATTTGTCTAGAGCAGAAGATATAGATTAAGACACATTTAAAGGGCACACTGAAACAAAACACAGGCAAGTAGGCTTCAAAGCCAACACAGTGGACGAAAAATACAGAAATTAATTGCGTTAGCATGGCAGAGGGAATGAAACACCAGATGCTTTCACGTGGGTCAAATATTTTGAAAACAAATTTTAAAACTAGAGAAACACTAACTTGCCCTTTGTTTATAAGCCAGCATACTCTCTCGCCAGCAGAGGCTGCCCACCTTAACAGCGCACTGTACCAGGATGGCCCAGGTCGGTGTTCTGTCATAAAATACTACCTATCGAGACGTGCTATCGAACCTTTCTGCGCATGTGCAGTTCCACCGTTTTGGGATTAGGGTTAAGGTAAGGGTTTTAGGGGTTTTGAGGGGTTAGGGTTAGAGTTAAGGTTAGGGCTATCGATTAGCGCTACGGTAGCATTTTTCGACAGGGCAGCATATATTGACAGAACACCGGCATGAAGTGCCGGTCAGAGCGGACCCCTGCCTCTCGCCTGCACCCCGGCGCTTCAATCGGGCACCGTATTAAACTGCGCAACCACGCGGGAACCCGGGAAGATTATCAGCAGAGACTGGGGGGGTTACTTTTAATTAACAGGGGGCATCCACCAGGAAAAGGTACCTGGAAGAGGCGAGGGATTCCATGCACGACTGGATATTGCCGATCACGCATGACGTAAAACATTAACAGCAACCGGTAAAACAAACAACAACAATAATATATAATAATAATGATAATAATAAACAATAATATCAATAATAATAGTAATAGGATAAAAACATGAAGGTGAATTAGTTAAGTAGGAAGCGTTTGCGTTCTGCTGCTCTGTTGAATCAAAGTGTCACCTGGAGGGTCGTACAAACGGCAAGGAGAAGAGGCTTTACTGGTGTCTGTTAGTTTTGCCGGAAAACTGCTTCTTCTTTTATTATATGCATCTGGCTGTACCGTCTCAAAGCCAACCGTTTCAGCCCCGATACCGACTAATCCAGTTCAGATAGCCGGTGTCCCTAATAACGTCGCTCAGCACCGCCGTGCGAAAAACAAACCCGGTGGTAGAGCTCCGCACGGAGCGGCCAAGCGGACATCGAAGCGCTCTGGAGCGACTAGCAGTTAGCCGCTTAGCAGGTGTCCGGCCGGACCGGACTAAGACGGAGCGGGCGGTACTCACCGGGCGAGCGGCGACACGGCCCCTCTCTGCGCCTTGTGCGGGTCGCGAAAGCGAGTAACTGGACGGAGGTGAAGCTGGGCTCACACACGGCCTTTCGCAGCACGTTTCCCTGCCTGCCGATAGCCAGAGTGTTGACGTCACTAGCGGGGCGGAACTACTCTGCACGTCGGGAAATAGCGAATGAGCGGCGGCCGCGGAGGGGGGAGCGCCACCTAGAGGCTGAGCAGGTGGCATGTCAGCGACCACGGGCGGCTGTGGAGTGCATTCTGCTCTTCATTAAGGTTGTTCTTGTGTAATCTTACTTATACAGAATCACACTCCTTACACAGAGAATCATGTTTATACTGAGAATCTTTTCCTTATAATACCTTATTTATAAAGAAAACATTGCATTTATATCATTTTAGTCATTATCATATCATTTAGAATTTTAATGTCGTTTTCATATATATTAGGTACTTTTTGTGTTTCGGTCCATTATACCAAACATATTTCAAATATATATCTCTAAATTATTTCAGGAAACACGGCAGAGGTATTTCACCGTCAGTGCTGTGTTTCCTACAGTTAACATGATTATGAGTTTAAACGTGATGTTAGGCTGATTTAAAGTCTGTAACCAATGGAAGCCCATAAACATGAGCTGTGCAAACAGGCAGCAATAATGGAAGTATAACTGCCGCCGTCTCCTGCCGTCATGAGAGGGGGATTCCTCCATTCGGCGGTTTCTCAGCATGTGGTGTAAAGATCAAGCTGAACACATAAAATGCACCCCCCCCCCCTTCTGGATCCCAATAAAAAAAAAAAGCCACGCCAAGGTGAACCACATTCCAGAGAACTTTTTGGAAAAGACTGTTTATTTTCTTGGATTAGTCGAGGACGTTGCAACAGTTTTGTCAAAATATTACTGCCAGTAATGAATCCAGCTGTACAAACATCAAGTCCAGTAGAATTTCTCGCAATCACCTCAGAAAAAACCCAGATTTTTCAGTCAAAAGAACATACTGCTTCATAATGTCAAATGGGGGTACACAGAAAGTAATGCTAAACAAAAATGCATTTTTTCTATGGCTTGACATCCGTGTAAGTCTACAGTAGTGAATTTTAACAGAAGGCGGTGCGGTGTGTTCCCCTTCCTCTGCAGAGTGAACAAAATATCTACACAAACTCTTTAAGTTGAATCTATCAACAGCAGCTTAACAGAACGGACATCAGCACTACCACAGAAGACACGATGAGGAAGGAAGCGAGGAAAATGACCGCTAGTGTCCCAGCCAGACACATGGTTACCCCACCAGCCGACAGAACTCCCGTTAGACGGTAACGGACACTGTGAAACGCCGTGCAAAAAAAAAAATAAAAAAATGCTTTGCATCTCCTTTTACCTCTAAATGACCTACTACAAAACATGTAAAGATAACATAAAAAAGCTATTTCTTTTTCCTAACAGGACAGCTGTCAAATCAAGCTCAAGACAACCCACACCCTAACACAGCATTGCGTCCAAAAAGGGGGCGGGTGGGGGAATCAAATAAATTAACTTTTTGATCCGCAATAAATAAAACGTTTAGAGAACAAAGCAAACCACAGTAAAAAAAAAAAAATAAAAAATTATGTACAATCGGAAGGCATTGAAAATAACTGTAAAAACACTGACATTGCGGAATAAAAGTATGATACGACAGAAATCCCACTAACATGTATAATGTAAACTCACCCGATCGTACGACTTTCCATAGAAAACAGTGACACCAAGGTCAGCAGGTGAAGGCATTTCATACAACGTGGACGGATATGGTCTTGGCTAAATACGCTATTTAAACAATAAATATTGGAATTTATTTCTTTTTTTTTGAGAAAGCACACATCCTCACCATTCAAAAACTCAGTTCTGAGGAATTCTGCTACCTTTACAATATAAAGGTAACATTACTTGTTTATAGGATTTTGATTAAACAATTGAGTATTGCAAAGCATCTTTTGATATAAACCCTAAAAGACATTCAGCCAACCAGCCGTTTTAGAAATATTTTAATCAAAAGGTACCAAAAACACAAAGTAACACTTATCGTTACTAATTTTTTCTTCTCCCTGCCAAGACATGGAATGGCCACTGTAGCATGTGACCTACCATGTGACCTCCTACGTTTGCTACCATTTTGTAAAAATGGCACCCAATGGCTCTTTAGTGGAGAACAAGCAGAACTCATTATAATACAGCTGGTGCTGTAAATAATGGTACGCCTGTTTGAAATACAGGACTTTGAAAGATGATTCCCAGCAATAAAGTTTGTTTGGACGCGCTAAAGGCGGCTTGGTCATTTTTCTGATACGCGAACAAAGGAGGAAGCTTGTCCCCCAGGACCGCTGGAGGGCATATGGAGTGTTTATAGCTGGGGGGGGGGGGGCAGAAGTGAGCGGAGGCATTTGGAACTGTCTAGCGACACCTATAATAAGGACTGGCTATTCTGTAAAGGAAGACAGTTTAACATGCACTGCTTATAAGAACAGTGATACATTAAAACTGCCTTAAGTGTCATTAAAATGACGCTTGAAGTTTGTTTTTGCTTTTTTTTTTAAACCGGGGACCTTCAAGGACCAAAAGACTCCAGCTGCTTTATAGGGGTTGTTTTCCGTTTTTTGAGCACAGTAAGGTACACGCTCCTCTAGAGAGTCTCTGGCTCTTTTCTTGGACATCTTGCCTTCCACATCCTGGAGACCCAACCCCACCCCTCAACCACCACCCAGCACCCGTCTCCAAAGTCAGGTTCTTGTACCTGTAGGGCACCGGAAATAACCAGTCTGGATGCAAATCTGCTCTGTATGCAGACATGATGGTTCTGACTGAAAGTTTCAGGTTGTGGGCGTGGGGGAGGGTGGAGGCTCAACGGCGCCCTCATGTGGAACAGCAGTGAGCGATCTGCTGCACTTTGGTCAGCTCACAGAGCAGCTGTTTTATGCGGCGCTTCAGCTGGGGCAGGCGGGCCAGAGGCTCGGGGGGCTCCAGCTCGCCCGTGTAGTCAAGCCAGCTCTCCAGGACTGAGGAGAAGGAAGAGGAGGAGAGATGATCAGTCAGCAGACCAGCCACCCCCAGGCTTGCCTTCGTATAACCCTTTATTATATACTGCACATTCTCTGTTCTGCTGCTGTTGATTACACAATGATTTACTTGCCAAGTACCTCAATCTTGCATTATTTGCACACTTCTGCTGCTAGTACCTGTCATCATAATATATTCAGTCAGACTAGTACCGTTACTGTTTTTGTTAACTGCACTGTATGTTGTCTTGTCCTGTAATATTGTATTGTTGCTCATGTTTATCTTGCACTCTCTCTCTTTGCTCTCCTTGCACTTTGCATAGTTCTGTCCTGCCGGCACTTGTGTAGTCTTGTGTCGTTTCAGTTTTTGTTCTTCGTGTTGTACCATGATCCTGAAGGAACAATGTTTCATTTCACTGTGAACTGTGTATATGGATAAAATGACAAACTGACTTGACTAAACGAAACCGGTGTGTCCAACTTGGCAGCATAAATGCTGGTTACACATACTCCCCGACTATCGCTATGCTAGCTGGTAGGGGTGCACCGATCGATCGGCCTCGATCACGTTAATTTGAGGGGATCAGAAATCGACCATATTCCCATGAGATCCACCGATCTTAGTTATATGCTTTTAACTCTTTGGGGTCGAGTATGTCGTCGACGACATCGCGTACTTTTCGCGTACTTTTCGTGTCTATTTCAGTTTATAAATATCTCGCTGAAATCTTAATGTATAATCATGAAAAAAACGCTGGCTAAATCCGTAATCTGTCTTCTTTTCAAAACGTCCATTGTCGGAAGTATTAAAGTTTTTTTAATTAGGTTAAATCGGCAAAAAAGTAAACCATGTCATCTTACTTTGTTTTACCTGCATCGGGGGCGTGTAGTACCGCTCTCACCCGAAGATCGCTATTCACATTCTAAATAGCCGCATTAGCGCGTATTCAAATCGCATTCGCATGGTAATTTGATTAACAGCGCAACGGTGAAACGCGATCCAGATACATCCCCTTCAGCGCCATAAAAGGGGGTTGGGGACGTGGCCAGGTGACAATGGCTCATTCATACACATGAAAGTTGCTACATATTCAATGAAAGGAGCCAGAAATAGTTACATGAGTTAGGTTTTTCTTATTTATTTATCCAAATTAATGTTGCATCTACACCATTTAGTCATCTTCATGTAGCCAAGACTTTGGTGATCAGATATCTGGGATCAAAACAAACTGCCAGCATTGCTTACTATGTACTTTTATAATGTTTCTGCAAGTGTTCCAAACTGCATTTTGCAATGTCTATACTTTGATGTCAAATTTCAAACTTAACAAAAATCTGACATATTTACAATATATATTAAAATAAAGATGAGTGTAATGGCAAAACAAATATATAAGAAATAATTTATTTGCCATGAATTAAGTGTGATGAAATGTGTGATCATGCCCCAGTCAGTGAAAGTGTGTTTCCTACCCCTAGGCCCCAGAGGGTTAAATCAGCCTTTTCTCCCATTCCCGAGAGAGGTGCAGTGCAGGCTGCCTCCCTCCCTATTTTTTGGACAAGTGTGTCATAACAGCTATATATATATATATTTTTTTTACAAAATTAGAGAAATTAAAGTCTGGAAGAAAAAATATGATTTTGTAGTTCAAACAGCAATGCTCATTTATATGTTCGTTTATATTTGAGGACACTACCTCATGTTTTGTGAGTATTCATATCAATTTACTCAATAAAAATGGAAACATTGAAGTAACTGTCTTTTAGTTATGAAAGAAACAAGATCGGCAAAAAAAAATCGAGATCGGCAGGTAAGGTTGCCTAAGGATCGGTGATCGTTGATCGGCCAGAAAACTGCAATCGGTGCACCCCTAATAGCTGGCACTCATAACCGCTCTCTCTGGAAGTTCAGCCTAGCTACACTTATGCCTAAGCTAGCTCCTTGTCAGCTGTGTGCTTGTGTTGTACTGCCTGCCTCACTTGTATGACGCTTTGGACAAAACTACATGCGATGTAGATAAAAGTAATATGAAATGTGCCACAGCGGCGGCGCCAGAGTGCCTCACCATCCAGCTCCCTCTCGATGAAATCCATGCGGTTGGTGACCTCGTCCTGCACGGCCTCGATGTGATCCAGCAGGTTGTTCTGCCATTGGCGTGGCAGGCAGCCAGCACCCCCTGCTGGCTCGCCGGTGCCCAGCACGCTCTCCTCACGTGCCCACGCCGCCAGCATCCACCTGGGGCCGTCCTCCTCCTGAGGTGGGATGCAGAGACACGTGAGCCAGATGTCCATGCGTTACAGTAAAGGCGCTGTGGTGCGAGGCTCACCGTGCCGTGTCTGGCCCGATCCGGGGTTCCGTGGGCCGTGCCACACTCACGCTCCAGTGGTTCCTCGGTACTGAGCAGGCCGCGCTCCAGCTCCGTGCTGGGAGACCCACCCCACGTCTCCACCACCAGCCGGCGCTCCCCTGCTGGGTAGTACGCACACGGCTTCTGGTAGCAGTGCTCGCTGCTGATGTAAGAGGCCTGCAGGGGGCGTGGCGGCACTCTGTCTGTCGCTGTGGCCTCTGGGGCCGCCCCGCCCTTCTCCTCCACGTCGCTCGGCAGTGGGGACCATGTGGCCACACCCCCAGCCAGGCTCCTCCTCTTGGGTTTCTCTGCCTGCCTCCAGGGCTGCCGCCACATCTTCAGGTCGGGGCTGGTCTGACTCCTGTTGAGGGGGCGGAGCTTAGAGGTCACACACGCAGAGGACACGCCCCCAGCCCCAGAAACGCATACACTATGTCTGTAGTTAAAGTGCCTCATCTTAAACCATCAAAACGTGCCAATATCTAGTACTGCGCCCATGCTCATTATCACTGTGACATGCAGAGTACAGAGAGGCCTTCTCCTCCCATCCCCTGCTGGCACTCACTGCAGGACGCTCATCTTCAGCTGCAGGCCACTGAGCACCTCAGCCACGCGGTGCACGTCCCCCAGAAGCTGGTGCGTGGCAGCGATCTTCTTGGCGTTCTGATGCGAATAGTTCTCCTCCAGGAAGGGCAGGCCGTACATGTGACCGCTGCTCAGCCAATCCCGGTCGCACCAGTACCGCTGGCTCTGCCGCTGGCCTGACCGCGTGACAAGGAAGCGGACGTTTGTGCAGCACCACAGACCACTGTATTTTTTTTTTTTTTTTTTTTTTAAGTAATTTCATTGCATCTCCAGTAGGGGGCAGCGTAGTGGCTCACTCTTACCTGGCGGATCCCTGCAGATGTAGCAGGCGTATTTCCCCGGCACGCTCTCCTCCAGAAGCCCCATGCAGACACCATGCTGCCAGCACAGACAGTCCTCGCACTAGCACAGGAAACAGGAAACGCATCACTACTACTTTGCTGCAATTTCCAAAAGGCTGCTGGTCCAACATCTTGGGAGAGGGGTACGGCCTTGCCTCACCTGCACCATAAAGTCATTCTCCTCCTCCACCTCGCAGACGCACCGCACGATGTCAGAGTCCTCCATCGCCATGGAGATGGCAAGGTCCTGAGAGGGCGTGGTCACATCCAGCTCCACCTCATCCTCGCTCCAGCCGAGGCTGTCAGACGACCAGTCGCTGCCGCTGGCTTCATCTACTACAGCCGGGGGGGGGGAGAGACTGTCAGAGGGGCCAATCGAGTGTCTCTGCCACCCCAAAACCATCTCATTTGTCTAAAAAGGGGGTGAGTCACTAACGAAGGCATACAAATGTACTCTAACAGACCCCCACCCCATCCCCCATCACCAGCCTTGGGCTGTGGTACCCACAGGTAGCAGGTTAAATGTCAGGGGTGCGGGGGCAACGGGAATAAACAGGCATCAACATGGGGGTGAGCAGAAGCATGCGTGCTGGGAAACAGAGGCCAGGAGGGTGTGGGGGGGGTGAGTGTGAGAAAGCGAGAGACGGAGAGAGAGAGAGAGTGAGCGAGCAAGAGAGGGAGAACAAGCGAGAGAATAGGACTGTGAAAGAAGCGGCAGTGACAGAGGCATGTGTGTGTGTGTGTGTGAGTGTGAGAGAGTGTGAGTGTGAGAGAGAGAGAGAATGGCAGGGTGTGCAATACCCACCGTCCACGCGGATCAGCCCTTTGCTGAGCTGCCCTGTGCCGCAGCCGTGCGACTCAAACTTGTGTTTGTGTGAGGGGGGCAATTTATGCGACAAGCTCAGTTTGGGCGGGAAGCCAAATAGCGAGATGTCAATGTTCTCCTCACTACCCGTGTACGCTGTGAGGAGGGAAGCACAGGCAAGAAGACAGTTACAACACGTCCCCAGGGCAGCCCAGAGGCCGTGTGCCCGACCCCCCGCCCTGCCAGCTTCCTGCCCGGGCACACGGGTGCGGCTCACGGCAGCTCGGCAAACGGGCCTGGGACCGTCGCGTCCAGCCGCGTCGGCGGCGCTCCCTGCCAGGGAGAAGAAAGATTCCCCCAGCAAAAGACCCCCCTTAGTCCCTGGCATAGATTTAGTACAGGGTTCTTGCAGGTTTCAGTAAGTTAAATTTAAGACCTTTTTAAGACCATTATGAGTAAAATTTAAGACCAACACTGTACATTACAAACATTCGAATGATACCAGAAATTCTCATATTTTATGTCACTCATATCCTTAGCCCAACATCCACATATCATATGTGTTTACAAAGTGCGTTTTAATAAGTTCACATGTGTTTAAAGCATGTGGGAGTGGTATTTTAAGGCTTAATCTATAAAAAAAGTTGATGTATATGGTCTTTCTGTATCGCGAATTTTCACCTATCGCTGATGGGTCTGGAACGTAACTTCCGCGATAGGCGGGGGATCCAGACCCATCAGCCATAGGTGAAAATCCGCGATATAGAAAGACCATATACATAAACTTTTTTATAGTTTAAGCCTTAAAATATATAGTGATTCCCCGCCTATCGCGGAAGTTGCGTTCCAGACCCATCAGCGATAATGAAAACAACTGGAAACAGCTGATAAACACGGGGAATCCACACGGGGTTAACGAGGGGGCGTGGCAAACGGGAGGAGCGGACGAGCGGGGCAGGACATACTGCACTTCTAATCAGATTTTTTAGATTTTCCTAAGCAATTTTTATTCAAATATGTTTTTTTTCATCTCTATTTTGCTTTTATTGTCTTGGTTTAACTTTTTAAAATCTTGTTTTTATAAAGCACATTAATCATACCCGTGTATGATAATAAAAACTTGCCGTTCTATAAGGAGACAGAGAAACATTCTCCTCAAGACCATATGAACAACTAAAAACTATATGCTGGAAACTAAGACATTCACAAGGTAACTCCATGAAAAGCTCTGTAAAAGTAGAAATGTGTTTATTTAAATTATAATTTAAGATAACGTGAGCCAACTGGCTAGTAGTTGCCTTTTAAGACATTTTAAGGCCTTAAATTTAACTTTCTGAATTTTAGACTTTTTAAGACCCCGCGGGAACCCTGTTTATTACACACGTTTAGCAAAGCTGCTCGGTTAATCGTGGCATCTGAAGATGGAGGCGAGAATGGAATGGAACAGCATGCAGAGAAACACAGGAGCGCTTGTTGGTATGGGACCGTTAGCCATTACACTACAGGTCATCCACCCCACAAGAGGGCGCCACAGTACACTAGCCAAATGCACAGCATGCATAGCATATCTGGGCATCTCAGGGGAGTGGGGGGGTGTCCCTCACCAGACTTGGACTTCTTCTTCTTCTTCTTCTTCTTTTTCAGCTTGATTCGGAGGAAATCGTGCTTCTTTTCCCTGCCGTCCTCCCGAGGTTTGAGGAGAGCTGCGGGGTCAGAGGTCACAGGGCCGTTAAGGCAGCTAGTTCACCAGAGCAGATGTTACACTCAAGCCAGGAATGAGCGAGTCACTTTCATCAAAACCGAACTGACACTCCCCCATGCACTCTGATGGACAGCCACACCATCGCTACGGACCCGTCTCTATGTCGCCCCTGTCCCTCTCCTGCGGCCTGCGGCCAGCCTTCTCCACGTGGTTCTCTTTGATCTTCTCCCGGAGCAACGTTCTCTGGGTATTCTGCATGTGGACAGCAGGGGGTGCCGACGTGCGGCGCTTCTCCACTGGCCTAATGCTCGCCTTGCCACCACCACGGGGGGACTGGGGGGTGCGATGAGGGCTGTGCATGGAGGAGTCTGGGGGGGGCAAGAGTGGCACATGGCAAGCTGTCATCGGGTGGGGAAGGCAGGCAGGGAGGGAGAAATGGAGGGACAAACAGTGGGACTTACGCATGGAAGCAGACACAGTCCGCCTCCTCTTGGGGCTCTTGGGCAACGCACCAGCACTCTGCTTGTCAGACGCTCGCGTATTAATACCACACCCAGGGCTCAGCGCCCCCTCCTGGACGGCGTCCCCGCTGTGGTAGTACTTCATGTGGTAGTGAAGTAGCTTAGCCTTACGGAAAGACTTGAGGCAGTTGGGAACCTCACATTTGAATGGGTTGTGGTCGAGGTTGATGAAGAGAACGGGTGGGGGCTGGTTTTTGATGACTCTGTACACTGGGGGGGGGGGGTTGACAGAGAGAAAAAGTCATCAGACACCAGCAGTGCGCTTTGCAGGGCTTATGGGAGTCCCCAGCAAGATGGACAGACTGACGAATGGATGGAACACAGCCGGGGAGGGGACACTCACGTGGCTCCCGGCTGAACCTGTTAGGGTTATTAGCCTGCCGCCTCACAGGTACTGCAAAGGAGAAATCACAAACACAGATTCCGTTTATCACAGTGCCACCTTCAGGTGGGAGGTCACATAGCAACCCATAGCCATACTAGAGCCAAACACAGCTGTCATCAGCCTGGCTACTCCCAGCAAAGTATCGAGGCAGCGAACGGGCCGTACCTTTGGCAGGGGGCGCTGGTGCCTCCCCATCTCTAGGGTGACTGGGTTCCCCCCACTGGCCAGTGTCCCCAGACCCCTCCTTGCTGTCTGTGGTTGATGCAGAGGATGGAGGGGCAGGGTCAGGTCCTGACTCAGACATCCCCTTACTTGGGGGCTCAGCGGGTTTTGGTTCTGTGGTGCTGTCCTTGTCTGGGGGGGACAGAACGACAACGACAGTCATTTGCAAAGTGTCTTCATGAACTAGGACTGGGCATTGCCAACTAGCCCATAATACCAGTGTCACGATTCAATGCATCAGAATATTACCATTGTATCCTTAGCACTATATGCCCTTAGCAAGGACCTCATAAATGATATTTGCTGATTAAAAGCATGTTAAGAAAATGTTTTCAAAATAAAACATTCGCCATCTGCTGGTATTAAACTGTACTGTAATAAATCAATAGTTCAAAATATTGATGAAACATTGTGATAAATTGAATCATATATATCGATTTATTGCAGTATTGACACAGATAAACTCTGAACCCAGACAGTGCTCTCCTAGTCAGCTAAATCATACAGCATCTAAGTGTCTAACTCAGGTGGGGGGTTGGGGGGGGACGCAGGCCACTGCTTGGTGGGATGGCAGGAGACAGGAGGTTGCTGTACGACCTAACAGAGCACACTGCCTCAGCGGCTCTCACCTGCGGCAGCGTCCGACTTGCTTCTCTTCGAGGGTGTGGACTGTCCGAGGGAGATCCGCCTCTTCCGGAGCTCCAGGACACCACCATCTGCATTCTCCGCCCACCTCGCTGCAGAGAGAGCCGGCAGCAGCGTTGGCATGCCCGTGTCCAGCCTCACGCCTTTCTCAATGAGGTTTGAGCCGTATGAGCCGTAGCTTACCTGTGGAGAGGCGGTGTCGGGTCCTCCTGCCCAGCGGGTGGCACTGTGCCGCTGCAGCCTCCTTGTCCTCTTCCTTGCCATCCCCTCTCTCATCCTCCACCTTGGTCACTGCCTCCTGATGCATGTCCTCCCCAGAGGTGCCCTGCGCTCCTCCCTCCTCGCAGGCTTGTATCCCCATTGACATGTTCGCCTCTTCGCTCGCCTCCTTGCTTTCTGTGCAGGAGTTCTCTCCCAGCCACTCCCCTGAGCTCCCACCTCCTTGCACTTCCCCCACGGCCCTCCTCTCTGAGACGGCGCTCTCTTCCTTACTCAGGGCGACTCCCTCTGACTCCAGCTCCCGGCTCCTCTCCGTCGGCCTCTTCCTCTCTGCAGTCCTCCTCTTCCTCTGCTCCCCCCGGGTCTCCCCCTCGGAGGTTCGGCGCTTCATGCCTCTCTCCCGTTTGCCCGCCGTCTCGTCACCACGGGGCTGATCCTCACTCCTCTCCCGTCCGTCGTCGCCGTCCTCCTCTTCTTCGTCCTCCTCACTCTCACTCTCCTGGTCCTGATCCGAGCTGCTGGGCCGCCCCCTCTGGTTCTGGCCGTTCTCTACTGGTTTCCCCTGACGACTCCTCACTGCCCTCCGGCTGGGCGGCTTCTCCTGGCTCCTGTCACTGGCCCTCGACCTCCCCCCCTTCCTCTGTGGGACAGGCAGAAACATCTCAGTCTCCATGCGGTGTGTCTCTCTGGCACCGCACTCCATCTACCGAACCGTAATATCCATGAAAGCCCCTCTGCATCACCCACACCCTTAAAGCCCATAATGCCACACAGAAGCGTGTGTTTCCGCCGCCGTGCAGAGAGCCGGAGCCTAAGGTCTCACCTCTCTGATGAACGGCTTGACGTGAATCCCTTTAACCGTCTGGATGACGCCGTCGTAGAACTTCACAGTGTAGGAAGCTGCAGGGAGATGAGAAGCTGAGGCTCCATCATCATCATCACCATCAGCCAGCTCGAAGGCGACCGTTTCACCGTGGCAAACACCGGATTGATAAATACATCTACCAAGCATGGAATGCACTGCTATAAAACTGAGGAGGGGAGCAGGGGCACCGTTTAACCACGAATAAAAAAAAACAAAACCTGGCTTTCAGGAAGAAGGACGGAACGCACCATCTCTGTTGACGGCTATAACCTTGGCAGGGTAGAAGCGGCAATCGGACCAGCTGGCTAGAACCTTATCGTTTACATGAAAGCCCTGTAGGAAGAAGGCAGCCGGACAGAGACAAACATGAATGCAGGTTTATATAAATGGAGCAGAACAAGAGAAGCGGCTTTGTGAGGCTGCTGTGAGTTTGGCTCACAGCCAAACATGGCACATTAACACAGCACCACTGCATGATGGGTATCGCATCCACGCGCTGCGCGACAATAGAGGAAGTGTGACTGCACGCAGTGGCGGGCACCACACTGTAGGGGGCGCACATGACTCACGGGGATGGGGCAGTCGTCCTGAAGGCCTTCCCTACGCAGTTGGATCCGCTCCACGGGCCGGAGGTATGGGCTGGCCCAGTCAAACCACTCGTCGTAGCGGTGGCTCCACTGGCGGTAATGGATCAGGACCTTCTCGTCCTCGTAGTCGATCTTCTCGATGTTGGCCGCGTACCTGGGGAGCGGTTGGAGGATGGGGAGAGGGTCATCACTGGCTGAGGAGGGAGCTGGTAGGGAGCTGTGGTGGGGGGCGGCCTCTCACCAGTTCTTCAAGCTGTCCCGAGCCTCCAGCTGCGCTCCCACCTCAAATGTTATCCCTCGCCGGTTGGGGGGAGTCTTGCTCATGGTGCCCACATTCACAGCCTGCGAGGGATGATCACGCACAGGATCCACCCAGTGCCGCGCTTCTGGACCTGGGGGGGGGGGGGTCATGGATCACTGTGTGAGAAACCACGCCATAGAAATGCACAACTGACCAGAGGGCAAAAGTAAGGAAGTGCCACACCAAGTCACATGACAAAGTGATCACATGACCATGAACCAAACTGGGTAGCTTTTCAGGTTTACGACTGCATCCAGACCAGTATATTAACCACACATACCTAAGTATTTCAGACTCTGCTAGGTAACAAGATAGTTGCACCTTTAATTAATGTGTCAAAAGCACACATGTACAGGTGCAAGCTGACCTTATAAATAACAAATGTCACAAGTGTCTGTATAAAGTCCATACACCACACTGTAGGGTATAAAACCAGCCCCCACTGCAGAGAGGCTCTGGACCCCAGGCCATTAATGAGATAAGACTGACCATAACCTTTTCAGTTTAATGGCAGTTCATACTTCACTTTTCCGTGTGCGCTTTTGGGTTGCAGACCCATGCGGCAGCTTGTGTTCATACTACATTTGCGGATACGCTTGTCCATGCATGCATAAAGCAGTAATGTTCCACCAGACCAGAAGAGGGCAGATGTATTGCAACAAACACAAATTCAACCAGTGTGGTGAAACTGGTAAATTTTTATCAACTTTTATCAGCTTACTCGCTTTAACCCAAATGTTGTCTAATTATGTATATTAACTTCTTTTTAATTATTTGTTTTTATTGTTTGTATGTGCTATGTAAGGTGACCTTGGGTTTTAGAAAGGTGCCCACAAATAAAATGTATTATTATTATTATTATTATTAATTAACAGTTTTAAAGTTTAGTCTAAAATCGGGCAATACTACAGTAATACGGCATACTGAGGTATAATGAAATCCTTACGACAAAATTAACAGGAGTGCTGCTTTTTAAAATACCGTATACCTCGGAATATCTGGACAGTAGGAAAAAATAGATATGCACACAACTGCTCATCATAACTATTAATACAACAAGAACAATAACTATTCTGGCTGCACTCTTTCGTCGTTGACCGCTGATCTGTTAAAGTCCATGTTGCCACCTACTGGAAATGCCTAATTAATTATCTTGCACGTGCACGGTAAAAGCGCATGGACGTACATTGTTTCCGCTAGACATAAAAATCTGGCCTACACGCGCACCGACCGCAGAAAACCCCCGATGACGAAATTCACGTCATGTCGCCTCGTCCACAACCGAAAGCGCACGAGTAAAACGGAAGTATGAATTGGCCTTTAAAGGGCTGACTATGAGTACAGATCTAGCGGGTGCGTGTCCTTTAGAATGGCTTTAGCAGAACAGATCCATCAATTAGACTAATGAATAGGCAGCTGCTCCGTAGCAGAGAAAGCGCGCTTTCAGAACACTTTAGTCACCCGCGTGTTGAAATGCCAGTGAAGGTCAGCCAGGGATATTTAACAACATCCATTAAGAACTCCACCGTGTTCTCTCTCGTCTTAAAGATAAAATATCGTGCTATGACTGGAAGCAAACACAAAGGTCACGTTACACTGAGTACAGCAGCAATATTTTCCCCCAGTGGTGATTACGACAAGTTAGAAACGAGCAAAAATAAAATTAGAGCGGCAATAAGAATATTCTGAGATCAGTGTTTGCTGAAAGACTCAAAAGACGGCGCGTGAAAGAAAGAAAAAAACATGTATGACATGCAGTTTTAATTAATGTGGGAACTGATGGTTTTTATGTTATTCACGGCTGAGATCTCAAAATTAAAAATACACTTGTTTAATACTTTACCACCGACTTTAAACTTATCACATAAATTAACTGACTTATAAACAAGAATTAATTTAGGATTCTCAGAATTAATGACAGACAGCCAATGTCAGCCATTATTTCTGACCACATATCCAGTTAAGCCCAGTAAGTTATATTGAGACAGGAGAGCGGAGTTTCCGGCCCATCGTGAACAGGAAGAAACCAGATCGTTCAGATTGCACCGCGTAAACAAGCGGCCGGCCGGCTTTGGACATGCGGTCAGGATGCTTATAGTGTCCAGAAGCGAAAGCAGGCCGGACAGGGCAGGGCACACATCGTCAGCAGCGGGTAACTGCATACGCCTGGTCCTCGGAAACTCGCGCAATTCCTGTGCAGGTGCCAAATAATTTTCACTTTAATTTTAAACAGAAGTAACACGATAAGCATTCGTAAACGATTGCATCCATACGAAAAAGGTATATACCGGCAGGTCCCAGTGACAGTCATGTCGAATAATAAAGGAGAGGACATTCCGAATGAATATTTGTGTGCATAAACACAAACGGGCTCCTTGAAAAAGGCCACGCTAGCAGATCAATGATTTCACTTCAGTATAAACGATCATTTGCGCAGACGTACTGGAATCCGCATTGTCCCGTCTTTCCTGCTAAGGGCGACCGGCCACGTGTTTTCACTATTCGCCGCACAATAGTTAAGTGTTACACCGAATCGCTAAAATCCGCCTGTTCACGTACCCCGTATCCAAGTCTATAATGCATCGACGGTTTCTAATAGAAACAACAATATTTAAAGAGCTACAGTAGGATAATTCGGCGTCTGGACTGCAAATGACGCAAATGGCGCGCAATCTGCTTCAATGCCACTGTCTGTACCCCAGGGAGCTGCTTTACTGATACTACACATCAGACACAGTGATTCGCAATACAAATGAACGATGATTTCGAACACGCTGATTGGCTCGACGCGCTGGCTAAATCGAATTCGAGGCGTCTTATTGGCTAGCTGGGCTGTCAAACATAGATTTAGCCGGGGCCTTTTCCCGGCCTGTACACATAAAAGCGGCCCATCGTTTTGTTACGGAACGAAAATGCGAGCCCTTCAACTTCCTCAGAAAACTCCCGAAAATTGCCGGAGGCCGCTATAATTCGGAAGTGTGTGCGCAGCAGCGCATATAATGCTTCCAAGCCCTAATAAGTAAATCAGGTAGAGAAAGGCACTCTGAAAAGGATCGCGTCGGCGAGAAACACATGCGGTAACTTTCATTTCTGGCATTACTGATGCATCATCGCCATCGCCCCCATCTTTATCTCACATGCTTGGAAATTCATGTTCCGAGCGAAACGCCCAGGCAGACACGAAAATAGGCGGTGCATTCCTAAAGAAGCTGTTTTAAAGTCGATTACCTGCACTGTCCGTACACCACGCTCGCACCGGGATGCACGGCGCTGCTCCCAGCGTGCGGTGTGCGGCAGCCCTTTCTCCGGCTCCGGAGCCCACGCACTTTTATTTTCCCAGGCTGTTCGCGGAGAATAGCGCCGGTGTCAGGAAACGGCGCCCATCCGCGCATGCGCCCGCTCACAGGCACCCCCGCCGTGATGCCCTTAAACCTGGCAGGGAACCTGCTCTCCTTTCTTTAACTATGTAAGAACCACAAACTCTTTAGCGTCAACATTACGATAGAATATTTTCTACATTAGTATTTTCGACATTTCTCACAATTGATAGCGCTGCGTCTTTAGCGTTTTTTGGCACTGCGTTGATTTTTTACTTTAAACTGCCTAAAACGATTCAAACATTGAAGAAATATGATGACATACAGACAAGTGCAATAATTTTGTATCAGGAATGGGACACCTTTGAAGCACTAGAATATCTGAGTATAAGTGTACAACAAACGAGACAATTGATGAAAGTAAAATCCTAATTTCACAGTTTTTAATATGATTAATGTAAAGAATCTACAACCTTCTTTCATAAACATCTCTCCTTACTGAAACGCTTCATCTTTCTCAAAGCCGCAATCACTGTACTGACTGTAGGTACCGTAGGCTATATGTGTACGTAAGCAAAATTTAACTTGTCAGTGAACTGCTACTTTCATGTGAACCTCCAGATGGCAGTATAGACTGAAATGAGGACTAATTTTATCACTACGATGACTAATTTCGTTCATTTAAGAATGTTGTACTTCGACGTGACTTTTTATGCACGTACAAGTATTAGCGGTGAAACAAAGTTTTAGTATGCCTGCGGTACTGAACAGAAAGCTTCAGAGTTTGTGTAAGCGGACCTCATTGTCCTAGTTAGTGATGTAACGAGAACGATACATACAGCGCCCTCCACAATTATTGGCACCCCTTGTAAAGATTTGTAAAAAGGGTTATAAAAAATCCACCTCTTGGTGAAGCAGCTCCATGTCACACTGAAAAAAATGAGAAAAATCCAACCTTTTGTTGAAATAAAGTTATTCCAATAAAAATATCCATCAAGAAATAATTATTTTTTACAAAAACACATGCCATGGTTATTGGCAGCCCTGCCTTTAATACTCTGTACAACCTCCCTTTGCCAGTATAACAGCACTGAGTCTTCTCCTATAACATTTTATAAGGTTGAAGAATACCAAGCATTGCAACTGCGTCCATTCCTCTGTACAGAATCTCTTCAGATCAGTCATTGTCCTAAGCCATCTCTTGTGCACTCTCCTCTTCAGTTCAGCCCACAGATTTTCAATGGGGTTCAGGTCAGGGGACTGAGATGGCCATGGCAGAAGTTTGATTCTGCGGTCAGCTAACCATTTTTTTAAATTTTTTTTTAACCATTTTAATGTTGATTTGGACATGTGCTTAGGATCACTGTCCAGTTGGAAGATCCAAAGACGGCCCAGTTTTCGATTCCTGGCAGAGGCAGCCAAAGTTTGATTTAAAATATCCTGGTATTTCATGGAGTCCACAATGCCATGAACCCTAACGAGGTTTCCAGGGCCTTTGGAGGAAAAACAGCTCCAGAGCATCACAGAACCTCCATCATATTTTGCATTTGGCATAAGGTGCATTTCATTATAGCCATCCTTCTTTTTTGCCAAACCCACCTTATGTTTATTGCCAAAAAGCTCCATTTTTATTTCATCAGACCATTGAATTTGGTTCCAGTCAAAGTTGTAGTGTTTCAGCTCCAGGTGCTTATGTTTGTGGTTAACTGACAAAACATTCGCTACAGCCTCAAACTGGGACCCGAGTGCCGCCATGCAGCGGCTGACTCCTCAGCACCATGCACACCAGCCCCCACCCCAACAGGCCTGTCACTATTCGCTCTTCATTGATTTCAGATGAGCTGAAATTATTTGAAATTGTACCTGGGGGCAGAAACAGGATTTCTGAGTTACATAGGTTAAATTAAGATAGAAGTTATGATTGTCCAATAAGCCTTTAGGTAAGGAGCATTCCTATTGGACAATCATGACTTCTAGTTTAAGATAATCCATCTAACTGAGAAATCTTGCTTTGTGGAACATCCCCCAGGTCTTTTGAATTATTATTATGCCTATAAACTGTTTCAGTACAAATATAAGCCAAGCTGGAGAATCTCTGTCACCCTAACGAAAATATTTGTATAATATAAATATGCAGTGCATCAGTGTTCTTTTTGGATAAGTAATGTGTAAAATTGATGTAATATTTGGGTCCCTCTCGCGGTCTGTGTGTTTGGAGTTCGCATATTTTCGCCGTGTTGCGCGGCTTTATCCTGTAATCGAAAGGTCAGGCAGTAAATATGGTAAACTGAGAGCCCTCAGTGAAGCTGTACATGTACCCTGCAATTGACTGGCATTCCGTCCAGCCTTGTACCATGTGCTACGCCAGGCAGATAGATCCCCCTGCAACCCAGACCAGGATAAGCGGTTCTAAAATGAGATTAGAAATACGGTTTTCATCCAGAAAATATTTTGTCCTAGCCGTCCTAACTTTGTAATTTAAGGAATTCAGTCAATCAATTCTGTCAAAAGTCCTATGTACTTACCTACAAATACACACCTGAAAGAAAAAATGACTCGCCACCTCCCGAAAACAACCTTTTACCATAATTCCATCAATCAGTTTCAAAGGTTTATTCTTTCAACTTTTATGAAACTGTAGGGAACAGGGTGCACCGAAATAGCGATTGACTTATACATGCGTGTCGAGTTCCTCACACACCCAGCGGACACCAAAGCGGCGCATTTACAGAGAGCAGGCGGTGCTGGTTCATTCCGGTTAAACATTATAAACGGTCATTTCATACAAGCACGACAAGTACAAAAGAGTGATTACATCCTTTTTGTAACAATTGCATTAAAATAAGAGAAAGACGAGAAGACACACCACGTCTGTGAAACTCTTCACCAGTAGGAATCCATGTCAGCATGACCGGCCCCGACTTCTCCGCAAAATATTCATTACAACTGTGATTACGCTCCTACGACGCCCCTTATGTGTCTCGGTAGAAAAAAATATTTTCTCTTGCTTTCGAGTTCGCAATTCGTTCCCTCGAATTAATCACCAATCAAAGAGCAACAATCATTAACAATCATTAATCATTAACTCAAGCGCACTAATTTCCTACCATGACACCTAAGGGGCTCGGTACGTTCACACCAGCTGCTTTTTTTGGGTAAAACATTAGCATGCCTCTTATGGAGATAAAGATGGTTAACATGTCTATCAGGAGATGATTGTGGAGTGAGAGGTCTTTAAAAACCAGGTTCACATGCAGCTTAATAATATATTTGAAAGCCGCGTCGCAATTTTTTGAGGGGGGTTGGTTTCAGTACAAAACAGCGGCGGAGAGGTCCATTCTAATATCTTCACACGTAAAAGTACCCTCGACAAGTATAATTTGTACTTGTTATATTGAATATTTACCATGTTAACAATATGGGCTTGGGTAGCAAAGCCCAAAATCTAAACACATTCACAAACATTCATGTGAAATATAAGTTCTGTATTGGGAAATGTCCAAACCGGAAAATATGGGATAATTAGCAGGCGAGAAATTTGGTTTACGATTTTTTTTCTTTGAAATACGTTAGATTGTACTAAAATGGTTATCACTTCGATTCGTTTTTGTTTTGTCCGATGCTGTGTTTAAGTACTTTCTCAGTTAAAACTTCAGACAGACATTATCTTAGATGGGAAGACAAGCTAATTAAGAAATGTAATCTGCTTGAGAAGCATGACACAGACGTGGTAAGAGGCTCTCATTGCAGTAGACTTGCGTTTAATATACATTTCAAAACGTGAATTCAACAGACTTTTCCCCATATAGAAATTAATATGCAAGATATTGTATAATGCCACTTTTACATATGTATGGAAATCTATTGAGTTCTGAAGTAACAAACATAAGAACATTCTGGAAAAGGGGCGGGGCTCTCCAGGCCACCCTGGAGCGGCAGAGATGCCCCTCTGAGACCCACTGGATCTTCAGCACTAAATGCTGAACCGTTTGCGTGGTTCTGAAGATGTACTTTGATTATAGCACATTCTGATTGGGAGAAGGGGTGTCACGGCAACGGGAGACAGGAGCAGCCCCCCCCCCCCCCCGCAGTCACACCACCCCCTTGATGAAGCTGGTGTCCAGGTGGACAATAAGCAGCCTCAGAAAGGCCATCTCCTTGCGCGTGTTCTCGAAGATGACCCGCGGGTCCTCGGACTGGCACCGCAGACAGTTGGGCGCCATCACCATGGCCAGGTTGTTCACGTCCATTTTGGTCTTGCTCACATTGGCTGGCTGGGCAAAAATCTGGAGGAGAAGGGGACGCGGAGAATGGTGAGCGGGAAGATGATCCCACCACGCTGGAGTGCAAGCATGGTGTTCAGAACACAGGCTTGGGGGTCGGGAGAAGGGATCATCATTAAAGGACAAGGAGGTCCAGCCCGTGCACTGGGAGCATCACTCACACAATCAAGTAGTTAAATGTTTAGTCATGATGAAATATGCATATTGGCACTAGTCTGACATTTTTTTCTTCCTTATGGTTACATTCCAATAACTATAGATAAACCACTAAGATCCCATCAGGTACGTACACACACGCACGCACGCACGCACGCACACACGCACCGCCTAGAGGTCTCATCAGGTAAATTACATGGACTGAAGTATTGGGTCACCTGGCCATTACACTTATAGGAACTTTTGTCATCCCATTCTAAATCTACAGGCATCAATATGGAGAAATTACAGCCATAACAGCTGCCACTCTACTGGGAAGGCTGTCCACAAGGTTTATGGAGTGTGTCTGTGGGACTTTTTGCCCAGTCATCCAGAAGAGCATCTGTGAGGTCAGTCACTAATGTTGGATGTGAAGGCCTGACTCCTTGCAGTGGGTCTGAATGAATCCTGAATTAAATGTTTGAGTGGTGTGTCCCAATACTTTTGTTCATACAGTGTATATAAAACAGCGCCACCCAGAGGTCCCAGAGTTTGTGGTTCTTACATAGTTAAAGAAAGGAGAGCAGGTATATACCCCACAGTGTCATATTCCAGCGTGTCACCATGTGTGTCCCTAAGAC